TTGCCTGTAACACTCCTGAACAGTGCGATTCCCCAAGTGAAAGAATGGATTATGTGTGGCTTTGCATAAAAAAGAGTATCACTAAAAGTTGTCCCATCCACCACCCCCTTCAATGCCCCTCCCCCTCCCCCTTGGTGGACCTCCCGCCCTCTACCACGCTGAAAGTCACCCCCTCTCGATCTTCCTCTTTGGAAATCACCTCTGCCTGACCCGCCTCTCCCTCCCCTCTGGAAATCTCCGCCTCCCCTTGGCCCTCTTGGCCTACCCCTCCATGGCCCTCCCCGACCACCATGGCCCCCATACTCTTCACCATCCCATCCGCCATCCTGGTTGTTGTTGTAATTGTTACCCTTCCCTGACCATGTGTTCTCCCCATGCCAATCTCCTCCTCCCCCACCATAGTGGTCCTCCCCCCCCTGCATGCCACCTCTTCCCCCCCGCCAGTGGTTAGGTCTGCCTCCCCCACCCATGTGATCATCATCCTCATAACCCCCAAAGTCCTTGAAGCTTCCTCTAGCCCTCCCTCTTCCTCTGCCTCGGCCACGCCCTCTCCCTCGGTCCTCGTAGCCCCCCCAGTGGCCACCCCCATTCATACCATTGTCACCTCCCTGCTCGTCATATCCCCAGTCCTCATCAAAGCCCTCTTCATACTGCTCACCACCATCTCTCATCCCCCCCATATTGTGGCCTCCCCTAGGGCCGCTTCCTCTGTGTGACCAATTCCCTCTGGGTCCTCCACGGTTGAACCCTCCATCAAATTGCCCTCGGAAGTTCCCTCTTTGTGAATTGGGGTTGTGTGGGCCACTAGGACCACCACCGAAGGGTTGCTGCATGCCTTGAAACCCTGCTGAGCCCTGGTAGTTGCCTGTATTGTTGTTGCTATTGCCATAATTGGGATTCTTCTGTTCACCAAACTGGGGTCCACCCTTCTTCTCTGGAGGTTCCTCACTGGAAGAAAAACATAGATTGTGTAAATGAATAGTTAGACTGAAAAAATACATTATGAGGGAATTCCACTGAGTACCCATTATAAAAATATTAATATGATTTGATCTAGTATTTGTAATTTTCATGGCAACAGGTTTATCATATTAATAGTCTTTGTATTTCTGATGCCTACTCACACACAAGCATATAACCAATCAATCAGTCTCACATCTAGTTTACATAAGTCTGTAGGAGCATATACAGCAAAAAGAAACAGGCAAATGCAAGCTTTAGTCTCAAGACCATTCAGAGCCGGTGCAGGACACAGAAGAGACAAGTTACCCCTTTTCAGATTCAGATCCAAACACTATTTAGTCAATCATTAAGTATGATACATTTTACAAATCACAATACCAGACATAAAAGAAATATCTTGAAGAGTCTGAATATTTCTACAGATACAAATGCTCTCTAACTGGCCGGACAGTCACCCTCCCTATGGTCCCATGATCTGCCTAACTAGCTTGCTGCCCATTGATCCCAGGACATGGAGGAGCAGTGGTAGACAGGGTGTGTCTACATGCTGACAGATAGGTCTTAGGGCCTATCCCTTAACTATATGTACACACACAGTACTCTTGTACTCTCACTCTCACATTCTCACTCACACTCACTCTCACGAACACTCTCACTCTCACTCTCTCTCTCTTTCTCTTTCTCTTTCTCGCTCACTAACTCACTCACTCATTCATTCTGTGGAAGCCCATATGGAGGTGGAAACAGTAGAGAACAGTAACCTCAACCCCCTTAATACACATCCAGGAGAAGCAGCTGTTACCACGACCTCAAGTTTTCTGTGGGTGTCCACCTCTAAACAAGGGTGACCCAGTATGGGCAGTCAGTGTCTACCTCTCATACTGCACACCTCCCTGACTCTGCCCGTAAAAGCTAACCACGATGCACTACCAAGCCACAAGACAACATCTACCTAACCAGCAAGCAAAGATCTTCACCAACTACATGTTTGTCCTTCCCTCAATGAAGAAGCTAAACAGATACTGAGTTTTCTTTGCACAGGCCAGAAAGTATAGTGGTTCTCCTGTAACCTAAATCATAGACCATTATACACTCTCACTCTCTCTCTTACAAAGTAAATAGATAAATAAAAAGTGTGCACTAACTCACCTGGCATTTGGATTCAGTAGCTGGTTCTTCTCTTTGATGAGTTTCCTTGCAAATTCAAAGTCTCCAGTTATCTCAGCAATGGCATCCTCTTCCTCCATGGTGGCAAAAGCATTCTGGATGACGTCTCCTGCCACTTTCTCTGCAAGGTGTGAGGTTGTTGGTTATCAAGTGAACATTTTTTTTTTTTTTTTAATTATTATCATAATCACCATTTTCTTCTTGCAATACTAGATATGACTGAGTCCCTTGTTTGCTGTGATCCTTCTCATCCAAATGGATCAAAGTACATGTATTCCTTTTACTTTACTGACATGAGGGTATCTATATTACTCATATACTTGCATATCTATATCTATCCATCCACACTTATTTACAGCCATTTAATATTATAAACCAGTATTCACTTCAATTAACTGTCAACTATTTATATAAACACAGGAGACTGGCTACAAAAAATTCTCAAACTCCAATTCAGTCCTTCAAGGACACTGCAATGGTGAATAAAATCTTTCAAACCCAGTGGAATGTTGAAACCAAACTTTCCACACCCAGAGGAATGAGGAAAACAAAGCTTACTTACCCAGAGGAATGAGGAAACCGCAGTACAGAATGGAATTGGCCTTAATGTTGTTCAGGGGCACTGAGCCAGGTGGAAGTTCATCACCATCGTCTGTGTAGACCATCTCTCCATCTATGTTGGCTGGCATGCAGAACAGGGCAGCACTATCCGTCACTACCCAGCTTGTCTGCAGGTATATTTGAGGATTAATGATTAGGGATAATTGCACATGTAAATGCACCTGCAGAGCCACCATTGTATTCAAACAGTTACAGTTACAATCTTAATATTCAACTGCTTACCCAGTAAAATAGTAAATATATATTTTTTTTTCAATGATAAAATAAAATTGGCAAAGAAACATAAATCAAATAATTTAAAAAATCAAATAAAAATAAGTAGAGAATCTCCTCAAATGACTTGTCTTCATACTCACCGCACTGTTTTCTTCTTCAATTTCTTCCTCCAGCCCACCAGCGGCATTCCACGCTGCCTGAAAGGTCTTAGGAATAGGTTTGGCATACGGGGTTTTCTTGGAGAATCTGGAAAAATATAGTTTTTTTGAAGGTGTAAAATAATCTTATCCCTTACTATTGTACTCAATTCCTATGCTGTAGGACATTCAAATTCTAAGAAAATGATATATAATACCTACATACACAACTACTTTCAAAATGTACATCTAAAAAGCAACTTTTATCAAATAAATTGTACACATTTATCGATATCAATTAAGCTTAATGAAGAAGAAGAAGAAGAAAAAAAAGGAAAAAAAAAAAAGAAAGAAAAAAAAAAAAAACACTTTTGCCTAACCTGTCAAATCCAACACCTTCGAAGTCTAAGCCTGGGATGGTCTCAGGCCCAGCCGTTTCTGTCTCTTCAATCTTGTCATCTGGGCCCATACCAGGAATGGCTCCTTGCGAGGTTAGGCTTGAGTTCAGAGGAATGTCATCTAGGGTGTAGGGAAATAGATTTTCATTAGAGTTATGAAAATAAATATCAATCAAGGAAGAGAGATTTAAAAGTGCAGCAGTATCAATGGTATCTGTATCATCACAATATTGCAAGCACAGTGCAATACCACTCTACATCTTCACAAAATTATTTTACATCATATAGTACTCCATATTAAAGACATTTCCCACTTAAAAAAAGGAAACATTTCATCTAACGCACCAATATCCATGGAGTCGTCGGCCAGGACACCAGCCGGTAATGTGTTTAGGTTGTACTTGTCTCTCATCTTGTCGCCTGGCCTGTTTCTCGTCCAGAACTTTGATGTGTGATCGTTGGAGCCGGAGCAGAGTATGTGACCAAGAGGGTGCCAAGCCAGATCCCAGATGATGCCATCGTGAGCAGACTCAATGGCACCCACTTCCTTGTCATTACTGTTTTGTTGGGGATATAAGGTTCCATATCAAGATTTAGAGACAAGGAGTAAGCAAAAAAAGAAGCAAATCATTCTATATTCCACTGCTTGTACGGAAAGACCGTGCATCAATGACAATAATAAATATCATCATATCAAGGCATTTGCAGACTTTTGTTTTATCCACCTTAAGGACCCCAAGCCCAGCTGAAAAATGAGGGGCAAAAAATAAGTGTCCATTTCCAATAAATACACCATTAGTGTACAATGTATCATCGTGATTCTAAGTTGGTCACAAGAGCTCAGACAATTAAATTTGATATTAAGAACTCATGTACATTAATGACAATACTGAGGGAATAAATCATCATATGAAACAGCTGATAAAAAATGCTTCCCACATCTACTTATCAGATAATGAAACATAGATGTAAAAATGACAGCTATATATTGTTTTATAAGGGCATATATTCCCTATGGATGGTGGTGGGGGTGTGTGAGTATTCTTGATTGTTTTATAAGGGCATATATTCCCTATGGATGGTGAGTATTCTTGACTTTGATTACATTATAATATATGAATATCATCTATCTGGCCATGTGCATGTAAATACTAAGAAATTGTGTATGATACAAGGCACAATTTACAGGCTACATGCCCCCCCAATGGGATGGATGGGAAGATATATCTAATCTTTTCTGGTCAGAAATGTTACAGTACTACTTCTTCATGTGTCCATGTATGGTACGATGTGCCATATTACACAACCATTTTATTGGGGAGGTGGGGAGATCTATCAGTTTTGACAATATACATGCTTTGGGTCTCTTGCTATTGTATAGCCATCATCTGATGTTGATTATATTTTTTGCATTAGGCCAAATTATGAAGATAATTTTACCACCCCGAAAACCAGGCATTTTTGCTTTGTTCTCTGCCTTTGCAATGTGCTAAAACCTTTTCAGGCTTGGGGTCCTTAAACCTAATCAAATATGATATTCAAGTGTGCAAAAACTTATACTCACCCAACATGCCAGAAGAGGATAGAGCCATCAGACCCACCACTGGCAAACAGACCCTCATGGTGGGGGTGCCATGCAATGCATGATGCCTCTTTTTTGTGACCTCTGAATACCTGCAAGAAATGGACGATTAAAGCAGGGAAGAAAATGAAAGTGGTTCAAAGATACGACATCCAAATGTTAACAAAACCGCATATTTACATCTACCAAATGAATGCACATTCACTCACCTGGAATTCTGTGGAAAGATTACGAATATCGAAAAGCTTGAGCAGATGATCTCTGGAGGCTGAGCAGAGCCAGTTACCATTAGCATTCCACTTCAGATCCATGACTGTGCTTTTATGAGCATGTCTGAAAAAATGAAGAAAAATCATTCCAAATGAATTCTTACAGCATCAAAGAAAAGAGTAAGGATTATCTAAAACCCTCAATTTAAAAGCTAAATCAGAAGTGTACAATGAGAAAGACCATTCATTCAAAATGTAAACAACTAAATATTCTATACTGAATAACAAAAGGGACAGTGAATTAATTGTCTGACTATTTGCGCACAAAATAGTTGTGTATGCTCATATACGTGCAAGTTTGTTGAAGAAAATTTCCTGCATGTATGTCTCACACTTACAGTTTTGCAAGGGGTTGACCAGAACGAGGATCCCAGAGTTTAATTGGCTGCTGATTGTCTTTGCTCCCTGATGCCAGCAAGCTCTTTGACGGGTGCCAGTCTACACATTTGACATCAGCTCCATGGCCTGTTTGGAATTGCAAGTACTTAGTGAAAGCAGAAATAAAGGGGTGCAGATACTATATACTTACTGCATCTTCAAATGAATACAATGTTTTGTAAAGATGCAAGATTCATTATGAGAATGTGTGACACACACACACACACAATATATAAATATATATATATATATATATATATATATATATATATATATATATATGTATATATATATATGCATATAAATCTATATCTATCTACCTTTCTACTAATCTGTCTGTCTATCAGTACACATGTATGCTGTCTCTTACTGTTGTGAACACTTACTGTCAGTTTTATGCTCACTCACATTTTCAAACACACTCCTATTTCTCTCTTAATCTTATTGTTATACTCATTCCCCTGCTCTTATTTTTATGCTAATTCTCATGCACCCACTCAGTCACTCACTCTCTCTCCACATTCCTCCAATGCTCACTCTCATTCTTAGTTTCACTCTTTCTCCTATTGTGATTACTAAATCTCCCACTTACCATTACCTTCATTCTTCTCCCTCTCTCACACTTCCAACCACATGTTCTCTCACTCTCATTCACACATGTGAAAATATAAAACTTCAAATTCTTAACTTGATCTCTTTCCTCTTCTTGTCTCTTTTACCCCCCCCCCCCGCCCTTTTCTATCTGCCTTCTTCTCACCCTATCACCCTCCCTATCTCATTCACACTTGCTCTTCCACTCTTTCTGTCACTTTCTGTAGCAGTTTCCTTGCTTAGAATCAATATCAACATCCTTCTGAGTGCAATTCGAGCCGGGACACTACACCCACTACAGTGATCATTGAAACTAACATTGGTTACAAATTTCTGGTATGAAATAGTCTATTATAGTAAAGTTTATTTGGATAGTATTTAAACATTTAAGACTAGGGAAACAGACTTTATATTTCTCTTCATTAGACTGACCTTTAATGATGATGACAATGATGATAATGATAATAGTAATAGTAATAGAAGTAGAAGTAGTAATAGTAGTATTAGTAGTAGTAGTAATTGTAATAGTAATAATGATAATAATAGTAATAATAATAATAATAATAATAATAATAATAATAATAATAATAATAATAATAATATAAAAATAAGAATATAATAATAAAAATATAATAATAATATAATAATAATGCAACAATAATAATATATAATAATAATAACAACAACAATAATTGATGATGATGATGATGTCATTACAGGAATCCTTTGCTTTTCTGACTTAAACAGGTGAACTTTCCTTCTTTCTCTATCTCACAGATCAATTACATCAATTCCTCTTTCTTGAAATACTGGTTTGTTAACTACATTAACCTGCACCTTCATAAGCTGGATTAGTGAACTTAGCCCTCTAAATATCTTATGCAAAATAATAGCTTAGAATTTACAACCATGCCCCTGACCTGCATCTTCATGTTGCTTCTATTCACCGAAGCTTCTTTTTGTAATAAAATCTCCTGCATATCTAATATCAACCCTGCCTTCTGTTTATTCATATTCAATTCTATACCTACCTAACATTTGAGCTATCTTTGAAGATACATATGATTCTCCACTGTTACAACCTTCCACACTTCCTATTGTGTATCTGTTATGCTTTCCCCGCCTTGTCTTTATATCTACCTAATGCATACAAAAGATCTTATAAAAGTGCATATACA